CCTTATTATTTGATTTTAAATTAAAACTTACGAACCTTTTATTTTTAATATTAACTTTACAATCATTATTACAAGACTTCCTCTGTTGAAAGTCTTGATGCTCACTACCCAATTCTAGCTGGGATCCATTATTACTACCAGATGAGATAGTATAATTGCTAGCACCAAATGCCTCAGAATTCGCATTGGGGGAATAGTAAGGCAAACCACCTATCTTCAACACCTCCCCAATCACACATTTGTTATTTGTAATTACAGCTGTTTCTTCTGAAAACAGAATCTCTATTCTGGGATTCTCACATACCCTCATTAAGCTTAGCAAATTATGGTCTATCTCAGGTACATACTATGCTTCATTAATTTCTCCTATCCCAGGAATATAAACATCTCCAATGCCAACAACATTCACCTTTTTACCGTTTGCAACTTTGACCATGGATTTATGCCTTCTCATGTTAACAAACAACCTTCGGTCACTCACAACATGGTTACTAGCTCCACTATCCATTAACCATAGTTGTTCACAGTTCCCTCGTAAGTTCCGACTCAGTGGTTTCTACTATGCCTACAGAACCATCATTAAACCTAAGATCGTTCCTTTTGTTGCCTCTATTTGGCCATTTACCCCTTCTCTGGTTAGGAACATCTCCACTTGGTTTTCTGCCTGGAGGGAATGACCTCTTTTTGCACTTACTACCAGAAGGTGTCCTTGGACATGCCCTGGCATTCAAATTTTGTGGGCAATCCCTTCTGTAATGTTCTCTTGAACCACAGTTGAAGCATTCTCCGATAGTATATGCTCTATCTGAACTATCAGGCCTTCTTAAGGGTTTTTCTTTCTTGTGGAAAGATGCCCTACATTTTCGCAAGTTATCTTCTGCTATTAATTTACCAGATAGCACTTCTAGAGATAAATTGTTGTAATTGACATTATCCAATTGTGATATAAAATTATCCCAGCTAGAATCAAGGGAATTGATTATAATGGTAATGAGGGTTTGTTCAGACACTGTTTCCCCCCTCAACATCAACTCCTCCCTTTACCTTTTTAACTCACATAAGTGTTCATTAATATCTACTCCCGCCTTCAACCTTGCAGAATAAAACTCCCTGTAAATTCTGTTTGTGGCATGGGAGCTTTTAAAATAAAATAACTTATGCAGTTTTACCCAGACTTCCATTACAGTCAGGTTATAAGGTATACTGGGATATAAAGCAGGATCAATGGACATCAATAGGATACAAAAGGCCTTATGATGTAACAGATCAACTTCCAAGGACCATGGTCTAGATGGGGTTTTTAACAACAACGATAAAACATTCTCTTTCATTAAGATGACTTGAATACTCTTAACCCATTCCTTAAAATTTCCTCCACCCACACTTAAACTTTTAAAATTAGGAGGAAGAACCTGTACATTGTTAAACATAGAAACAGACATTGATTGATGTTCAGGGTGTGGTCCATCCTGGAACGGGCAATAAGGCATTGGAATGGAAGCACACAACACAGTGTCTTCCATCTGGCATTCTGACAATTGTTCCTCCCCAATGGGAGGGTTTAAAAACTCACATTGTGCAGATGCAAAACTTGTTCTGGTTTGATTACAAAAGTTCGAGGGTCCTCTCTGGTGCTCATCTCTAGGAAGTTTCGGACGTGCTCCTAGGTTCCTATCTCCAGTTGAGGCAGCCTCTGGAATCGCCCTGGATGTCAGTGTTGTCACGGATGGATATGTCCCACTCGTGGCGTGCGCTGAATTGGTCACGGACATCAGGGGTGCATTGGTACTATTCGTTGAGCTGATGGCGCCTGCGAACCATTGCCTAGAATGGTTGCTAGTGTTTCTATTGCATTTGCAACCCTACACTCAACATAAGAGTCTCTTGAGTTTTTAGCTGGAGTCATTGACGTCAAGGGAGCTAGAATTTTTTTTTTTATTGCAAAAGTTTTACAATTACATTTTCACCCCTTTTCCCCCCCCTGCCTCCCCCCCAGACTTCCCAACCTCCCTAACCGTCCCTAACCCTCCCCTCCCCCAGACTTCCCTATAATATACTCATACTCATAAAAAACCCTTAATATAACACTTATATATAAACTTGAACCCCTCCCTCCCCTGTATAATTTTTCTCTTTACCTCATTACATTAAAATATTTCCAATACATTATTTTCAAATAAAAGCTATTTGATACTTTCTAGTTTGATATTTGTTCTGAACATATTCTATCCACCTTTTCCATTCCCATTCATAAGTCTCTTGTGAACAATCTTTTAAATATGCTGAAATCTTCGCCATCTCTGCAAAACTGGCCATCTTCAAAGTCCATTCCTCGATAGTGGGCAAAGCTTCATTCTTCCAGTATTTACCTATCAACAATCTTGCTGCTGTTATCATATACAATATCAATTTTGTTTCACCCAATGTAAAACCCTTAACTATACCCAATAAAAACAGTTGTGGAGAAAATTGAATTTTTTTCTTCAAAACATTCTGCATGACCCACCAAATTTTTATCCAAAAAGCCTTAACTTTCCTACAGGTCCACCAAACATGATAATACGTAGCATCCAAACATTCACATCTCCAACATTTTGGCTGAACATTAGGGTACATACATGACAACTTTTTGGGATCTAAATGCCATCTATAAAACATTTTATAGAAATTTTCCCTCAGGTTCTGCGACTGTGTAAATTTAACATTCTGAACCCAAATTTTTTCCCATGTTTCCAACATCACTGGTTCTTCAAAATTTTGTGCCCACTTAATCATACAATCTTTAACTAATTCAGTTTCTGAGTCCCTTTCTAGCAAAACATTATAAAGCCTTTTGATATGCATTGGACCTTTCTCTCTTATATGTCTAACCAATTCTTCCTCATGCAACATAATACCAGTTTTTTGGTCCTCTTTCCATCTCAATTGTAATTGATTATATTGTAACCAAGTTAAATTAATCCCTTCGTCCAACAGTGTCTGCAATGTCTTCAGCTGCCATCTGCCCGCATCTGTAAAAAGAACCTCTTTGTATAAAAACCCCCCGAGTGACATTATATTTGTATTCCACAAAGTATGACCAAGATCCAGCCATAGCGGTATTTTATAATCCCATTTGAGTCGATGCTTCTTCCAAACTCTCATCAAAGAGTCTCTAAGTATATGACTTTTAAATACTTTATCAACTTTGTCATCATAAAATAAGTAAGCATGCCATCCAAATTCAAGATCAAAAACTTTCTGCATTCAATATTCCAGCCTTTTTACTTCCAAACCAATCACTTGTTAAAGTTAAAGCTGCTGCATCATAATATAGCTGTAGGTTTGGAAGTTTAAGACCTCCTCTTTCTGGAACATCTTGCATAATTTTCAATTTCACTCTCGGCTTCTTCTCGTTCCAGACGAACTTATTCACTCCAGATTGCCAAACTTTCAATTGTTTATCACTTTTAAGCACTGGAATCATTTGAAACAAAAAAAGAAATCTTGGCAAAATATTCATCTTAACTGCTGCTATTCTTCCAAGTAGAGACAGCTGCAGTTTTTTCCAAGTCTCCATAACTTTCTGCACCTCTCGCCACAACACCTCATAGTTGTTTTGAAACAATTTCATATTTGATTCTGCAACCTGAACTCCTAGATATTTTACCTTAGGTACAGTCTCAAAACCTGCCCTCCTTTCAAGCTCATGTTTACGATCTTGTGTCATGTTTTTAGCTATCATTTTAGTCTTTTTTGGATTCAATCTAAAACCTGAAACTTTACCATAGTCTTGTATAATGTCCTTCATCAAGATTATTGATTCCATTGGTTGTGATAGGGTAACAACCAGATCATCTGCAAATGCCTTTATTCTGTAATCCTCTTGCCTAATCTTTATACCTTTCAAGATATTAGAGTCCCGTATTGCATTTAGCAAGACTTCTAGTGTTAAAATAAATAAAAGTGGGAACAACGGACATCCCTGTCTTGTTCCTTTTTCAATTTTAAAGTCTGTTGTCAGACTTCCATTAATAATGATCTGTGCCTTTTGCTCTTGATAAATTGCCGAAATCGCCTGTATAAATTGATCCCAAAGTCCATCTTTTTCAAAGTCTTTAATAGAAAATTCCAATCCACTCTATCAAAGGCCTTCTCTGCGTCCAAAAAGACCAGCACTGCAGGGATCTGTTTATTCTTCTCAAGATATTCCAATAAATCTATTACTTGCCTTACATTGTCCTTCATATATCTGCCCTCGATAAATCCCGCTTGATCATCATGAATCACCTTTTGAATTACTGGCATCAACCTGTTGGCTAGTACTTTCGCAAAAATTTTATAATCTGTATTCAAAAGAGATATTGGTCTATAGTTCTCTGGTTTTTTAGGACCGATTTGTTCTTTTGGTATCAAAGATATGTAAGCTGTTGTCCATGATGGGGGTATTTTACCCCCTTGCTGAATATTGCAAAATAAATCTCTAAGTTGTTCCACCATTTCAGCTTGCAAAGTTTTGTAATACACTGCAGTCAAGCCATCCGTGCCAGGAGCTTTGGCTGTTTTTAACTGTTTAATTGCTACTATTATCTCCTCCTCTGTTATAGGATAATTCATTCTTTCCTTTTGTTGATCAGTAATTTTTGTAACTCTTTTATCGTTTAAATATTTTTCTATAAGTCCATTCTGCACCTCCTCTTTAGCATATAATTTAGTATAATAGTCCACAAAAGCTTCTTTAATTAATTTTTGTTGAAAGATTTCTTTCCCTCCAATATCAATACTATCAATAGTCCGTATACTTTGTTTTTTCCTCAATGTGTAAGCCAACCATCTGCCCGGTTTATTAGCGTTACAAAATGTGTTATGCTTCGCATATTGTAAGTTTGTTGCAACTTGTTCCGCCATAAGCATTTGAAATTGGTCTTTCAAAAGTTTTATAGCACTACGTATTCTTTCATCTGTTGGATTTTTAATAAGTAACTGTTCTTTATTCTTTATTTCTATTTCCAGTTCAGATCTTTTCTTTTGTCGGAACAGTCTATGTTTAGAGTTCATGTAGATAAGTACCCCTCTCATATAAGCTTTACTTGCATCCCACACAATTTCAATTGGGGTACCTTTATTCAAATTTATTTCAAAAAATTCTTTCAAATGCTTTTTAAGTTCTGTTGTATTTTTTTCATATCTAAACAAATTCTCATTTAATCTCCAAGAATGTCTCTCAACCTTGTCCATCTCAATTTCTATCCATACTGGGCTATGGTCAGTCAAAGTTCTTGGAAAAATCTTTGTTCTTTTTGTCTTAACAAGTAAATCATCTGTCAACAAAATAAAGTCAATCCTAGAGAAGGATCTGTGTCTGTCAGAAAAAAAAGTATAGTCCAATTCTTTTGGATTATGTATTCTCCAAACATCTTTTAGTTCCATATCTTCTTTCATGTCAAAAAAGGTCTGTGGTAATCTGATTCTAGACTTTGCCAAACGTTTTTTATCTAATTTAGAGTCGATTACTCCATTCCAGTCTCCCATCATTAAAATAGATCTGTAATCCCATTGCAATATTTTAGTATGTAACATCTTATAGAAATAGTCCTGTTGTTGATTGGGAGCATAAATCCCAATCAGAAGAATTTGGCCATTTACTGTAGACAATTCAATTGCTACAAACCTACCATCTTCATCTGTTTCTATAACTTTAGCTGTTAACTTTTTATTTACATAAATTACCACACCATTCTTTTTTTGCGAAGTTGAAGATATAAAATGTGTTCCTAGTTTGGAGTTTATCAAATATTTTTGATCTTGAGTTGTGATATGCGTTTCTTGTAAACAAATTATATCATTATTAAATTGTTTCAAATATGTAAATAATTTCTTCCTTTTCTGTGCTGAATTCAACCCATTAACATTCCAGGATAAACACTTAAACATCATCAGCCTCTTTCTGGAGCAAAGAGCAAAATAATTGAAGATCATCCGAAAGCTTCGATCTCGCTCCTCCCATAGCTCCAGTCTCTTGTGCAGTACTCTTATCTGCCTCCTTGTCTTGTCTTTCCTGTTGTTGTTGTTGCTTTTGTTTAAGTAACTTAGCTTGAGCTCGAGTTATACGTTGATCCTTAACTTCAATCATCCGAACCGGGTCCAAGATTGGAGAAGATTCCAGCAAGGGCTCATCCAGAAAACCTCCTTCTGCACCTTGCACTTCTTCTAATTCCTGCTTAGACTGTTCTTGCAGTTCTCGTTGAGGTTGCTTCTCTTCACTCTCTTTAATCTCCAAAACTGTAGATGTACGTGGAGATGGTGTTCTTTCCTTAAGAATAGTAGTGTAGAAGTGCTGTGCCTTCTCCACGGTATTCAAACGGTATCTTTCTCCCTTGTATCTGAAAATTATGCCAACTGGTGCGTCCCACCGGAAAGGTATCTGTAAATTTTGCAATTCCTTAACAAGAAAGCCAAATTCTTTTCTAGCTTTCAGCATTTTAGGAGGCAATTCTTTATAAATTCCAATTCGTGAGCCCCCCACTTGTACAGAAGTGTAAAAGGATTTTTGCAGGATATCGTTTCTTATTTCTCTATCTGTAAAATATATGACCACATCTCTAGGTAATTGTCTTTGTCTGGCCACCCAAGAGTTCACTCTGTAAATTTTGTCTATTTTGTGAAAAACCACATCTGGATTAACTTGTAAAATCTTAGCCAGGGCCTCAGAACAAACTTGTCTCAAATCCTGTCTTTCCTCCTCTTGAATTCCTCGAAGCCGTATAGCAAACTCCATTGCCCTGAATTGTATCATGACAATCTCGTTTTCAACTCTTTGCATTTTATTGTCAACATCAGCAATTTTATAATCATTGTCTTTCATCTTAACATTAACTTCTGATTTAAATTCTTCAACTTTAAAATCAACTTTCCCAATAAATTCTGCCAGGCCAGATGCCACTTCTGATATTTTTTTGGTCACCTTGTTTTGATTCTGTTTCACCATATCTTTAACTTCATTAATTTCCTGCATAAACTCCTGATGTGATTTTTGAAGTTTATCATCTATCTCCTGTTGAGATTTTTGAAATTTGTCATCCAAAGTTCTAGAAATAAATTCTTTTAAATCTCCCACATCAATTTCTTTTTTCTGAGTCTGTAGCTGTTGAGCAGGGGGAAGCTGCGTTTCATGTTTGTGTGTAGGGGATCCCCCCCCTGTTGCCTTCCCTTCCTGCTTCTTTGAAGCCATCCTGCCACGTGATCTAGTTTTTCTAAAGAGGGAAGTTCCTTTTCCTTTCCCTCCTGCACAAAGACTTCTAAAAAAGTCCCCCAGATTTGATCAAATAAAGGTTGAAGTAAAGCAAAGTCAAGCATTAAAAAGGGAGAAATTTTCCACTTGTTTCTCTTATTACAAACAAGGCAACTTTGTAGCAACTTGGAAACTTTGTAACAAAACAAGATAACTTCACCAATCCACACTCGCTGGCTCGTTAACTCTAAGGCTGAGCGCCATGTTTTTTCAAAGCACTTTCACTCATTCGCATTTTTCTCAGTTTAAAAAGTCAACAAAGCGCTAATACTTGCGTTTCCAAGTTTCAGGATTCAGGTAATTTCGCTGTTTATTAAAGCTGGTTCTTTTCGCTTTGAGTTTCCTGCAGCCGGCTTGTTCTGCGAAAGCAGAATTGTCCCACGTCGCCCGGAGTTTCAGCAGGTTGGGAGGGAGCCACGCCTGTTCTCTCCCCCAGAAACTTCCCTGGGGGGTTGCAGGGGCTCGACCTGTGCCCTGCGATCTCTTCTTCCTCAATCCTACGGATTTGGAAGTTTTCGAGCCGCTTCTTCGTCTCGGAGCGGCTCTACGGGCAGCGGGGCTGGCGGAGCTTCAAAAGGCGCCGCCGTCGCCGAAGACAGGGAAACCGGAAGTCAAGGGAGCTAGAATTTTTATGGCCTGATCTATAATGGTTTTGACAGCAGGTGGCACTGTATCAACTTGGCCATGCTGGTCTAATGAAGAAGCAGGGACATTCAAATCAGGCAGTCTGTTATCCCCCATTCTCCACTTATAGTCCAAAATAGGGGTTTTAGAAAAGGATTGAAAGTCTCTTACCAGTCCGGTGTTTTCTAGGACTTCGATCTTCTTTCCTTTAGCTGTCATTATGGCTGGATTCTTCAATGATTCGCTAAAATCAGCAATCGGGTTCTCACTTATTACTGGCAAACCTAAAGCTTGAAGGATTGCCTTCCTGAGTTCATCATCCACCTCTAAGTTTGTTTTCGAGGCCTGAAGTGGCGTTCTTCTAGTCTTTACTTCTTTAGGTGATGGTGGTTTACTCACTGCCTTAGGCATTTCAAAAAATAAGGCTTCTGCTCCAAAACCTGCAGCTCCACTACACTCTTGGTCAATTAGAGTTTGGGGTTTTTCAGCCAAAACAGTTTTGGCCTGAGCCCCAGACAGTCCACTTTGTGACTCCATGCTTTTCACTGCAGTCCTAGTCAACATCTGTTTTTCCTGCTTTAATTCAATTGCAGACATTTCAGTCTAGCGTATCGCCACATGAGTGGAGGTTCGCTAAACCATCCTCTGCTACCAATTGTCAGGATGGGGTTGAGGGTTGTCCCCGAACCGTGACAAGCAAACACACTAGGACTGAAATAAAACTAGCAGAGGAGTCTTGTATAAAAATATACTTTACTTCAAAATGTTTAAAAAACACTATATCTTTAAAAAAGGCACATTAACAACAACGTCTTATCTTGGTTAAATGAAGCCAGGCCATCTCCCTAAATTCCTCTCCACAATACCGAAACAGTCCATAAGAAAAAACTAACATGACATTAAACAGCTTCGGTGTCGATACATCATCGAGATGGTAGAAGGGCAGCAGCGTAAACTTCACAGCTAAAAGTCACCTGTGAAAAACAATTCTATCAGCAAATGTGGCTTGAAGCTCCTGGCAGGGAAACTGTCCAGCTCTCCCTCCGATCGTAGCTCCAACAGCAGCAACAGTTCAGATGTTGGCTTGCGTGCTTCAACTCAGCAAAAGGCAAGCGGAAATTGGAGACTTCAAAAGGCTCCCAGCTATCTCAACTCAGAGTTGCAGCTAGCTCCATGGGAGTATTTTTACACAGCTCTTTGGCTCCTTTTCTGCTGCTATCTCTGCTGCAGCCATCAGGACTCCTTAGCTGAGTTCTCCTCCCTTCTGCAGCTCTGCTCTGGGCTCTGCATCCAGGTGCTTCAGCACTGGCTCTGCATCTAGGCCTAAACAGCGTCTAGGCCCAAATAGCAAGCAGAAAGGTCCATTCTTATATGGGGAGTTAACCTGCAATTAACTAGGGCAGGGAAGGCTTGCAGTTAATTGCAAACAGGAGATGGCTTGATTGGGTCCATACTGTTTGTGACTGATCAAGTAGCTACAGCAATTCTGAAAACACTCGTGACAAAGTTTCTTAATTTGAAGCTGTTTTCCTATGAAAGGAAGACAGGGGCTGTTTTCTGCCTTTGTTATGATTTTTTTCCAATTCTCCTCTGGGAAAATATAATATTCTGCCTGTTTTTAATATTAAGAATAAAGAATATTTTAATATGGGGGGGCACTTTCCTCTTTGTGCCATATAAGTCAGGGGTGGGTTTCACTTATCTTTGCTACCAGTTCACTCGCGCACACATGCTCACTTCGCTCGTGCATGAGCCACTTCTGCACATGCACAAAAGCTTCTGCGCATACACAGATCTTATTTGATGATGTTCAGACGGGTAGGCAGAGCCTCCCGCCACCACTGCTACCAGTTCACCTGAACCAGAATGAACTGGTAGCAACCCACCACTGATAAAAGTGTGGGTGACACACACACTTTTATTGGCACAAGATTAAGAATCGAGCTGATGAGGGAGACTTGATGGGTGCTTTTATTTTTTTGTGGGGGGAGTTCCAGGATGCAGGGAAGCAACTTCTTAGATTGTTAATCCAAAGGGAAAGGCATTGATAGAGGCAGAAGAAAAGGATCCCTACAGTGGCTCCCCAAAAGAGAGCTTTCAACCCATGGAGGTTTAGCAGCCAGGGCAAATGTTTTGTTAAGTAGAAAAGAAATTTATAGTATCCAATTTTCTATGCCAATTATTTTTAGATGTTTGATGTCACTTTCTGTGAGCTTTCAGTCAAGTTGAAGCAAGCATATGTCCCAAAATTCTTCACAGCCATGATTGTGCTCTCATGGCTGCCCATTTTCAAGAGTTGCTTCCTGAACCTGCCTTAACTCTTAGTTTAGTGCATCCACGGCTTGTGAGATCAAATTGAGATTAGCCAGTGTGCAAGCCCAGGCTATTAATATTTCTGAAATTGCACACAGTGCGTTCTAGGACTCCCCCTAATGAGATCGCCAGTACAATATATTCTGCCTTACTGGGCAGCATTATTTGTGAGTCACAATCAGGGCTTCAGGTTTGAAGATCTGTTTTCCGATACTCTTCAGTGAGGGCATAGGGATTGTTAATCACCTGAGGTGGGACATGGGCCCCCATTGAATTGGCAGGAAGGTATGCATGCATAGACCTTAGTGCCACAGAGCAAGAACCAGCCTAGGGAAAGTTTTATGTGGAGGTATATGAAAGGGATAGCCTTGGTGTGGTTCTGAATGGTCTGTGTGCAGTGGTGGGATTCAGCCGGTCCTGACGAGTTCGGGCGAACTGGTAGTAGAAATTATGTCTGGGCACGCCCACCCCACCCTGCCACTACTTGCAGAATCTAGCTGCTGCGTATTTCTGCTCACCGCTGCTCACAAAGGTAAGGCCGAAGGGCATGGGCCAGCAGGTGAATGGGGGAGGGCAAGCTGACGGAGGGGTGATACCAGCAGCAGGTGAACCAATGCGCGTGGGGAGGGAGGGAAGCATGCAGGACATTGTGGCACCGGAGCCCTTCCAGTGTGTTTCCCCAAGCCGGTCTGGCCTGTGAGGAAAGCTCGTGGGAGATCGCAGCATTGGAGCCCTTCCTGTGTGTTTCCCTAAGCCGGCCTGGCCTGCAAGGGAAGCGTGTAGGAGATTATGGCACCAGTGCCCTTCTGTGTGTTTCCCAAAGCTGGCCTACTCTGAAAGTGAAGTGTGTGGGAGATCACGGCACCGGAGTCCTTCCCGTGTGTTTTCCCAAGCTGGCTTGGCCTGCGAGGGAAGCACGCAGGAGATCGCGGCACCAGAGCCCTTCCTGGGTGTTTCCTGAAATGGCCTGGCCTGCAAGGGAAGCACGCAGATCATCATCACCTGGACTAGCAAGGTGGAGGGGGCTGGGTGGGCATCCCTTGGGAGAGTGCTGCGCTGGGGTGCTGTGCGCTCTCAGGCCTGTCGTCCATCTCTGTTTCTGCAAGGCAGAAAGAAAGCCGTAAAAGTCTTCGCCCGTGCCCTCCTGGGGCAGATGAGAATGAACATTGTGTTGTAGCCAGCGGTAGATCAGCCCCCTGCAAATTCTGTCTCTCGATGTTCTGCCCCAGCTACGGATCCCAAAGAATGCAGTACACACAAAATCTATAGAAAGCTTATTTTACTCAAATAACTCAGTCTTTTTCAACCAAAGGCTGTTAATAAACTGTTTTAACAGCCTACAAGAATTCTGAGATAAGGTAATCACAGTCTTACTAGGGTTGGCAGAAAGCCCAGAAGCAATTTTGCAGAGAATCCAGACGCGAAGGAGAATGAACTAAAGTTGTTCCCTACAGCTTGCTGCAATCGGCATTCCTCCTTAAATAGGCTAAGGGAGTGGCCAATTAGCCCCAAGCCTTACTCTCGAGGAGACCTCCTCCTGAGGAGCCACTCCTGCCTTTTGGCAGCTCTGCACGCCTGTGCATTGAAAAGAGGCTTCTCCTCTTCGTCCTCTCACTTAAAAGAGCTTCTGGAGATTCTGAAAGCCCTGGCTGAATCCCTGCCTCTGGCACCACATCTTCTCCAGCCTCCTCACTGTCCAACTCGAGCGCCAGCTGCACAGGCTGCTGGCGTAGCACCACACCAACCTCCTCGTCAGAAACAGTTACAACCTGCACAGGCTACCAATGGGCCACAACACTTGAGGAGCCCAGCCACTCACCAATTGCCGAGTCACCTGGACTCCCAGTTACAGGATGGGATCCTTCAGCCACTTAGTTTGGCCACCTGTTTAGTAGCTCCAGCCAGCGGCTACAACAGAAACATTCATTCCCATCTGTATTTGAGATTTCTAGATGCAGTTTACTTGTGAGCACCATTGGCTGGGAGAGGCAGGGGAAAAGGCCAATGGTGTTCACAAGTAAACTGCAGGTTAGAGGCAGCCAGCAGATCGCTGGCTTGCTCACTCAGCTGCTCGCCCCTCAGGTGAAGACGTTGTGAGCTGGGAGGTTCGACCCCCCTTAGGAGCCATGAAGTGCTCGCCACCCCTCTGACACCTGCCAACCCTCCTCCCACCGCGCTTCTCTTCCTCCTCACCATAAGCACTCGCAAGTGACAAGACATGTGTTATTTTTTCGGGATTGCCCCCATCTGGTCTTCAGTACATGGCTCGTTGGCTTCCAGACATCAGACTCCCACCATGCAGCACCAGTTAAGAAGTTCCTTCCCCCCATTGGGGATGGAGAGAGAGAGAGAGTGAGGGAGGGAAGGAAAGAGAGAGAGAGAGAAGAGACACAGAGAGGGGGGGAAGAGAGAGACAAGAGACAGAGAGAGAGGTGAGGGAAAGTGAGAGACAAGAGACACATAGAAGGGGGAGGGAAAGAGAGAGACAAGAGACACACACACACAGAGAGAGAAAGAGATGAAAGAGAGATGAGTGAGAAGAGATGTGTGAGAGAAAGATGAGAAAGAGAGAGATAGGGAGAAAGAAAGAAAGAGATGAGAGAAATGAAAGAAAAAGATGAGAGGAAGAGATGAGAGAGAGATAGGGAGAAAGAAAGAGAAAGACATGAGAGAGAAATGAGAGAAAAAGAGAGAGGAGATGAGAGAGAGAGGGAGAAAGAGATAAGAGAGAGAGGGAGAAAGAGAGAGATGAGAGAGGAAGAGAGGGAGAAAAGAGAGAGGCAGAGAGAGAGAGATACCTGTTTAAAAGAAAATAGAAAAATGGCTCTGAGTATTTAAGGTTGCAGATCCCTGGGTTAGGCAAACACCATGTTCATTAAATGAACCTTGTGGTCATTAAGTCATTAACCACATAACACTGTGGTTGTTAATCAAGTCCATTTTCCCCAATGGACATTTTTAACCGGAAACCAGATGGAAACTGACAAAAACCATAGAAAACCTCAGTCACATGACTGTGTGGGATTTGTAACTAGTCATAAATGTGTATTAATAACGTTTGGATGAATCAGTGCTTCCATTGTTGAAAGCCAAACTGGTATCCTCAAATAATGTTGTTCTCTACTTTTTTTCCCACACTAACAATAATGAATTCCTAATGTAATGTCTTTAGAAGTAACCATGTATTTTATTTTTCCCATACCACAAGAAGTCATGCCAGCCCAATTGCAAATCATGCCCCTCCAAAGTCAATAGTCTTGTATGCCTCAATACAGCCCATTTTTTCACCCATATAAGTACCGCAGTCTGATAATACAATTCCCAATTCAGTAGCCCAAAGCCTCCTCTATTGGTTGCATCTTGCAACATTTTTAAACTTATATTATATATATTAATATTATTTTATTGAGTTCCTCAAAGTATTTTTTCCCCCACTATTATTGGAATTGTTTGAAATAGATATAGTAATCTCAGTAATATATTCCTTTTATTGTAGCTATTCTTCCTATTAATGATAATTGCAAATTCTTCCATTTCTCCAGATCTGCTTTAATTTGTTGCATCAGTTTATAGTTAATTATCTTCTTTAATAGTTATACATCTTGCTGTCAGGTAAATTCCTAAGTATTTCACTTTCTTAGTAATCTGAATATCAATTCTTTTCTGCATGTCTGTAAGATTTTTAACTAATATCTTAGTTTTCTCTTTATTTATTTTCAATCCTGCCACTTTGCCATATTCCTCTTTTTAAAAAAAATTTAGGCCCTGTTTCTTGTGGATCTTCCAGAATGAAGACTAAATCGTCTACAAATGCCTGTAGTTTATATTTTTATCTCTGCGTCTTGTCTAATATTTCTATTTAATACTTCCAGTGTCAATATGGACAGTTGCACAGTCACTCAGGCACTCGTCACTTCCCGCCTGGACTACTGCAACGCTCTCTACATGGGGCTCCCCCTGGGGTGCACCTGGAGGCTCCAGCTGGTCCAGAACGCGGCTGCACGGGGGATTATGGGGGCGACGAGGCGCTCCCATGTGACACCTCTCCTGCGCGAGCTGCACTGGCTCCCGGTGGTCTTCCGGGTGCGCTTCAAGGTGTTGGTGACCACCTTTAAAGCGCTCCATGGCTTAGGGCCGGGGTACTTACGAGACCGCCTTCTGCCACCAATAGCCTCCCACCGGCCAGTACGCTCACACAGAGTGGGCCACCTCAGGGTGCCATCCGCCAGACAATGTCGGCTGGCAACCCCCAGGGGGAGAGCCTTCTCTGTGGTGGCGCCCACCCTCTGGAACAACCTCCCCCCAGAGTTACGTACAATAACAGACCTCCGGATTTTTCGTCGGGCCCTGAAAACCCATGTATTTCAACTAGCTGGGCTGGCTTGAGTCAAATTTTAAATTGATTTTAAATTGGAACAGTTTTAATTACGGCCAAGATATTTAATTATTTTAATCAGTTTTTAGATTTTGTATGTTTTGTATGTATGTCTTGTTTTTACTTTGGCTGTTCACCGCCCTGAGTCCTATATTGGAGAAGGGTGGTATAGAAATTTAAACAAATAAATAAATAAACAATATGAATAATAGAGGGGACAAGGGACATCCTTGTCTTGTACCTTTTTTAATGTTAACCTTCTCTGTCATATCTCCATTTATCATCAGCTTTGCTATTTGTTTATAATATATCACCTTAATCATATTAATAAATCTCTCCCCATATCGTTTAATTGTGCTAGCATAAATTGCCAGCTCATGTTGTCAAATGCTTTTTGTGCATCTAGAAAAACCAACATCATTTGCTTCCCTGGATGTGCTTTGTAGTACTCCAGTGTATTTAAAATTATTCTCATAGTCTTTGTCTCTTAGGTAAAAATCCATTTTGATCTGAATGTATAAATTGATTTAGGAACCTTTTTAGTCTTTCTTCAATTATTGAAGCATATATTTTATAGCCAGCATTCAGTAAGGATATCGGTCTGTAATTTTTTAGCCATTGTAAGTCTGAATCTTCTTTCAGTATGAGAGTAATATATGCTTCCGTCCATGAATTTGGTACTTTTGCTTCTAGCAGTACTTCATTGAACACTTCCAACATTGGTATACTTAAAGAATTTTGTGAGTTTTTATAGAGTTCTGCTGGTAGACCATCTGGGCCTGGTGTTTTACCATTCTTTTGTCTCTTAATTGCTTCTGTTAATTCCATCATTGTTATACATTCATATAACATAGCTTTCACTGTTTCAGGTATTTTAGGTAATTCCGCTTTTTTTAAATATTGTTTTATTTTATCTTCTGAAACTGTCTTTGATCATGCAATTTTTCATAGTAGTTTTGTATCACTTTCTAAACTAGACTAAACCTCTAATGTATGCCTTTGCTGTGTCCCATACATTTTTGTAATGAGGTCTCTTCTTTTCTATTCTCTTTAAAGAAAAAGTCTAATTCTTTTCCCATGAATTGAATAAACTCCTTGTCTTTTAATATTGATTGATTCAGCATCCATCTTGATTTCCTTTTTTGTCATTTCCATTTAACTTTTATTGGATTATAGTCTTCCCAATTACTTGTTTCTACCATGTTTCCCCAAAAATAAGACCCTGTCTTATATTTTTTTGAACCCTGAAATAAGCGCTTGACCTTATTGCTATGTGCTCAAAAGCCCAATTGGGCTTATTATCAGAGGATGTCTTATTTTAGGAAAACAGGGTATGTCTATTTCTTGTACATTAGATCTTAGTTCAGCTGTCATCCATATCATATCTATTCTTGAGCAAGACATATGCCAATTTGAATAAAATGAATATTGCTTTTTCTCGGGGTATACCTCGCGCCATACATCTTGAATACCTAATTCTTCTGCCATTTTAAGAAAAGCTTTTGGGAGTATCTTCCTAGCTTTTTTATTTACTTTCCTAGTTTTATAGTCCAATTCTGCATCCACAATTGCATTAAAATCTCCTACTGCACATATATTTTCATATTCCAATTCTATTATTTTCTTATGAAATTTACCATAAAAGTCCTCTTGGTTACTATTTGGTGCAACCAAAAGTATCTGTTTGTAATTCATTGTTATCTCCACCATCAAAATCTTCCCTTCTTCATCCGTAATAATTTGTTTAACATTTGTTGTTTCTTTTATGTAATTTCCCAATTTTAGAATATACCAACAATTTTTTATGTTGTTTTTTAATATGAACCTCTTGTAGGCAAATTATGTCCAACTTTAATTTTTCTAATTTACTAAAAGTCCTTTTCCTCTTTATAGTCAAATTCAATCCATTTATTGAATTCAATCCATTTATATTTATTGACAGTAATTTTATTTCTTCTTCCATCATTTTACTTATAGTTGGGTTTTACTGTTCTGGTTGTTCTTGTCTGTCTCTGATCTTTTGCCATTGCTCCTTCTCTCTTTGTTATTTCCTCCAACTCTCTTTCATCTTCTTTTTGTTGCGTTTCTCTCTCACCTATAGCTTCCTCTTGTTGCCTATCCTCTTTTTCCTCTCTTACTCTCCTTTCCTCTTGCAGCCCTAAATAGTGCTCATAAAATTGTTCTGCTTTTTCTATGGAAACCAATCTATGTCTTTGATCCATCTAGGTCACCAGTATTCCCTCTGGTATCAGCCATCTGAAATTTATTCCATAAATTTCTTGTAAATGTCTTGTCAAAAATTGATACTCCTTTCTTATTTCTCTCACTCTTTTGGGAATCTGTTTTAAAACTACTATTTCTTTCCCTTTATATTTTATGGGATCATCTCTCGCTCGTTGTAGTATCCCTGCTTTTATTGCTTTTTAAGTAAATCTCACATGTACCTCTCTAGGATGTCTATTTCTTCTCGCATATCTAGTATGAACTCTAAATATTTCATCCATCTCAGCAAGCACCTTTTCTTTGGTCATCTCTAAAGCATTTGCCAACAGTTCTGCCATTATCTCCACCAAATTTTCTCCCTTTCTTCCTCAATATTCTGAAATCGCATGTAATAATCAGCCTTATCCATCTCAAGTGATATTATTGTTCTCTCGTGACTTTTGTCTGCTAGGGTAAGTCTGTAATCAACCTCTTCCACTCTTTTCTCTGGCTGTTCAGCTTTCTCTTTTACTTTCTGGATGTGTTGTTCATTTTTAGCCATTGTTTATTGAAAATTCTCTATTTTATGCTCTACTTTTCCTATTCTTTCCTTAATATCTTCATGCATAGTCTGAATCATGGCTTGGATCATGTTCATTTTCTCTTGCTGCAACATAGCATCCAATGACCTTTGACCTGCTGGGTTAGATGCTGCTGCTGCTGCGGAAGATGGTGCAGATGTAGTTTTCTTCATTTTGAAATATTTTAACAAATTTAAGCGTAATTGTAACCCACAAAAAAAGGGAAAGTAAATCTATTAATTGTAATCCAAGAGTTATTAAACTGTTGACTCCTTTATTCTTCAAAAGATATTCTCTTCCTCTCTTGTTAAATTTATAATCCACATGCACCAAAATTCAAAATTCAACTGCCAACTATTTTATATCTTCTGAGGGAGAGTTCACAGGGCCAAAAATAAAAGAGAAATAAAATATTTTGCTGTTCTCAGCTTCTGTTCACTTTATCTGTTTAGCTTCCACTTGAGTTCCAAGAGCTACACTATTTTAAACAGTCTCAGTGTTTCACTCTCTGTCTCAGCTATCTAACATGAACAGCTTGTTGATACAATTATTCTTTGCTTTAACAGCCAGTCTTTATCTTTTTCAGCCTTTCCAGGTTATATTCCTTATTTCCTTCTGCCTGTAGGTGTTACCGTTGTTC